GATAGATAGATAGATAGATAGATAGATAGATAGATAGATAGATAGATAGATAGATAGATAGATAGATAGATAGATAGATAGATAGATAGATAGATGTGTGGGAGGGAGATAGGTATAACAGTAAAGATGCAAGGAAGAAAAAATAGTGAAAGTAGATACATTTAAAAACCTGAGGTCAACCATCCAAAGCAATGGGCACTAGATGGATGAAGATGGGAGTGCAGGCAGCGTGGAGTGGGTGGAAATGAGTGTTAGAGATGAAAGGGGAAACTTTCAAGAGTGAAAGAGGTTTAAAAGATGGTCGTGAGACCTGCTATGGTTTGGTTTACAGGAGTAAGCAGAATGGAAAAGATTAATAATTATTTCAGACAACTCAGTTTGAGTGCTTTGGAGACAATGTTAGAGAGGCTGTTTCCTGGAGGAACCTACCCAAGGGATTGAGGGATTAATAAAGATAGATCTATCCATGCATCCATTGGGAGAAAAATAGGAAGACCTCAGAAGATTCAGTGCAGTGAAAAGGGACATGGAGAAGGCTGTTACAGAGGAGGATGCTAAGGATAGAGTAAGATGAACACAGAGGTCAGCTAAAGCAAGGAGCTGTAAGAAATAGTCTCAGCTCCTTATTTAGAAATGGCTTTCTGTTAGCAAATGCAGAGATTTGTTTTCAATAGGAGGCCTTCTTTAAACTATGTAATGAACTGTGTGCTGTTTAACTGTTTTTTATATATTATAATACACATTACACCATGTGGGGTAAAATATTTTGTCTGTTAGTAACACAGGATGAATTTCAGAGTTGCTGTTTACCATAAATGTTCTTTTTTTAAATTTGATTATGTCACAGCCTGATCTGTACTAATACTGTGTGCTGCTGACTTTGACAAGTAGAGAAGGAAAGCTGATCAGATATTAGTACTGTCTATATTCATAAATGACTTTGTGCAGTGGGATAATATTTAATAGAACAGAAGTAATATTGTGCTGTTCCTGTACATTCACATGAAAATGGCCACAAAAAACTGTGTGTTGAGATTCCTTCTGCTTTGCTTGCTGTTTTGACAATATCACGTAAATTTAGAGGAGCCGATGTTTAAGTGTAGGTTGTAAGAATCATGTTGTATTTATAAGTTGTTTACTTAAAATAAATAAAAATCAGGTCATGTGCAGTTTTTAAAAAATTGTTGCTTTAATGTAATAATTATGCTATTTATGTAATACTGTACACGGCATGATTAAAACATCTTATTAAAAACCAATAAAATGTTACATTGCTTAATCATTACAGTAGTCACTGCACTAAAACCACAAACTGAAACAGTAAATGTAGTTCCATTTCTTTGGGACTAACTTTACTCCTTTAATTACACAGGAGCAGTTCTATTGGTGCTCTACTCCTGCAAAAAAAAAAACCTCCTTCATTGTTAAAAGGTGTTTGTAACTGGCATGACTGAATGGTTTAAACAGGAGGATCCCAAACACCTACAACAGATGCATTTTGTTTCAGAGACAGCTAAGTTGGCTTTTACAGCCAGCAATGTTGCAATGTTTTTGGTTTTGACCTACAAAAAATCAGTGTACAATAAGAAATTATCTGTGTTTCTTCTTTCAGCACTTCCCACACATTTTATTTGACTTCTTTCTCGTATCACACCGCTCACATGCAAAATTGAAATGTCTCTCGAAATGCTGCTGATAATAGAGCTGTGTCAGTGTGATAGATTGTCTGTGGGTTACGGTATCTAATAGTGACTTTAATAAGTACCTGATCATACGTCATCTGCATGATGTATCTACACAGCATTCAGATCAGCTGTTACAGTACACACGGCCAGGACCACACAGGCCCAGCAGTTTGTAGCAGAAGAGTTCACCCAGATGGTTCGCAGATAAGTTGCTCCCACATCAGGTCTGCTGGCTTTTGGTTGCTAATTTGCACTGCAGTCAGCAAAATAATGGTTATTATTTAAATTAGTGCATGGATCACCTGCAGAACGCCCGTACGCACTTCTGGGTGCTTGTGGCTAAGTTGCCCCATTTAATATGGCTCAAAGTTTGTTATTGTCCCCACTTTTAAACATAATTTATAGCGCACTGCTCATGCTCCAGAACATGTGAAAATCCCAAAGCTGTTATCAGACAGAAGATCAGCCAAACTAACTGAAATAAGATTCTGGGATTCAGACTAACTCAGACTAACTAGCACTGTTGACCTGTCCCATGTTGATCTAAAACTGTTCAAATTACATAAATGAACATTATACTTATCTGGCTCAATACATGCATACATGTACTCGTTGGATCACAGCAAAATCAGGAATATATAAACAGATTTTTCTCATTTCACTCACAAACATGCGAGTCATTACTGAGTCTGTTTCCAGTGTCTTCTTTGTGACTTCAGGAGCATTTTGTGTTGCACGGGTCTCCGGATGAAAAGTAGTCGTACACACTGACCAGAGGAAACATGGTCACAGCTCCCAGCAGAGAGCCCAGCTGCACTACAGCTCCACACCACACGAGGGCGCTGTGGCCTTCATCACGGAGGATCACCCCAATAATCACCTTCACATAGGACAGGGTGAGAATAAAGAGGACCCAGGCCAACACCTGTGGAACAGAAGTAGGTGAGTGCTGCTGTGTTTCTGCTTATCACAAGGTAAAGAAGTGCAACTTGTCTCCCAACAGGAAACACTGTGAATTGTTTGAGTAACAGAAGTCTACCAGTGCACTCACAATGATAACACCACCTGAGGTATCATTAACCAGCAGTGGGCATGGACTCAGCACTGCCATGATCATAATATAAACTCCAACTCCAGTGCCAATCACTGTGAGGGCTCCCATGAACAGCAGGGATCTGTGAAATGAAACAAATGACATCCCGACTGCAGTTACAGATGCTCCAAGGTTGATATAATGTGGCACAAACATGTGAAGCTGTGGGGGAGGGGCCAGATGAACTATAAAGGAATTTGACATTAGTTGTGCTTAAACAGAGAAAAAGCTAAATAGCATTAGAAAAATATAAAAGTGTCTCCTGTAAGAGGGTTTAAGCAAGTTGTATTCAAACATTTCCATTATTTTTGCATTAAAAACTATGGAGAATATGAAAGAGTGCTGAAGGTTTATTATTGTTTTAGCATTTACCTTGTTAAAATTGCCAATGGCACACTTACCTGATTGGTAAGAACATGGCGATGAAGCATGCCAGAGGGTTGGACAATGCAGCTAAACTGGCCGACAGGTGGTAGGCGTTGTTCCCGTACGGCATGCACGAGTAGGACTGCACCGAGGGAAGAACCGTGTTGCTCAGAGCGTTCACCCAGGCCAGAATCCCAAAGATATAAAACACCTCCATCCAGCTGTAAGAGCCGGTGCCAAAGCTGCTTCTGGGCTTCTGGTTTTCTGGTCTGTAAGGATCCATCATTGGCTTCTGCTCGACCAACTCCCTGTTTTTTGTTTTTTGTTTCACTCCGTTGGTGTATCTGCTGTTTGGCTGCTCCCTGGCCACAGATGGATGGTAGTTCAGGAGCAGGAAAGCCCCCAGGCACACCAGCATCATGGCACTGAGGAAGAAGAAAAACACCTCAGTCGAGAAGTTTGCAGGCTGATACTGGGCCTGGAGGTCAGAGGTCACAGAACCGTTGGGAATGTTGAGAGTGTAGTTCACAGACTGTGTGCTGTTTATGCAGTGGACGACCCCTGCACCTTGGATCAAAGCCACAAGAGACGGCAGCAGGCCACTCACACCCTCCCCGATGTAGTAGGTGGTCAGATACTGAGACTTGAGACGCATCATGAAGGGCAGGAAGGTGACGGAGGAAGTGCAGTCAACAGCAGCGAGGAAGAAAGTTAAAACAAGGAGAGGCACGCTGCGAGCCACACCTGCTACAACCACAGTCTCCTTCCAGAAGAATCCCAGCAGGAAAGTTGCTACAGTGCCCAGGCCGATGATCACATATATGACAGCTCTCTCGTTCAGGGTGCCTGGTCGGAAACGATGCATCAGAGTGACGAAGAGAGGCCCGATGTTGGCCATCTGGATGATGACTGAGAGGTAGGAGGGCAGGTACCAAGCCTCTGGGATCTGGGGGACAATCAGAGGCAGCTCCACCCACAGACCGTTGATGGAGACCCAGGAGCCCATACCGAACAAACATGCCAACAGGTGAGTGAGAAGGGACATGTTGCTAGAATGAGACAAACAAGATGTTTAAAGTAGACCTTACTTATTTTATTTATAATGAAATCTCATATTTAACAATAAAATTTGATGACTCAGAACATTAGCTGTTGTGTTTCATTCTAGCTTTTTTAACAAATAGACCTCAAATTGCTCTTAAATGTTTTCTGGGTTCAGCATCTAAAATTCTGAAATGTTGTAAGAATATCTGTGATCACTCATATTATAAATGATATAGATACCATATAATGTATATATTGATGATTTACTCTACACAAAGAACATTGTTAATGAAAGAAACCCAATAAAATGAGGAAGGAACCTCTCAAAAACTGCAGTTACCGTAGTAAACACCTCAGCCTAGCTCAGAATTGTCCCCATATCCTCTAATGTTAAACTATAGCTCTTATACAGTGTCATGCAGTATTGTGCAAAGGTTTTGCTTGAAAGGATGCACTGATCATCTAATTGCTCTTTGGTACCATAATGCTATTTTGTCTCTGTTGTGTTGTTGATATTTCATAGATTCAAGTAAAGAAATGAGAACAAATGATGTGTTTGCAACAGGCTGCTAGTAACAAAGTGCCTAAAGATACAAGCTAAAATGGTTCTTTGCTAACTTGGCTGTTTTGCAAAGCCAAGTCACTGGTTCATCCTTTGATGTGTGTTTTTTTCTTTAATGCATGAATGCATCAAAGGTCTAGGACTGTACTGAAAAACCAGCCAATGTCCAGAGAAACAAACTTTGAAAGACACAGTGATTTTGGCCTCTGTGCCTAATTTTCCTCATCACAACAACTGTAACAGTGGCGATTTTTGAATAACCTATTTATTTGGATATTGATGAAGTCTGAAACTGGGACCTTTGCTTTCTTGAACTGGTGTATTGCACTTATTGAGCTGGACCTGTTGAATGTGTTTGTGTCTTTTAGAACATTTTTCATTAAGTTAATATAATATGGACACAGGTCAGGCCAGGTAGCGAGGAAAAAAACATTGAAATGTGCAACACAAAAGGATAATACAGGAATGCACAGGTATCAACACACCATAACACAATAAACACAGACAAGCAACATGGGAAAGAGTTCCAGTGTGTACATCTGATCTGGGACCGCTACAATCTTTCGACTGCGCCTCCAGCTGACCCGATGTCCACATCAGAGGGGAGGTAAGCGTTGGAGGTGGCGTTGGATCCGGGGTAGGGAGCGTGATGCGTCAGTGAGTGCTTATCAGTATCAGTATATGTATGTATGTGCGTGTCCATAGTTCAGCTGAGACACTGTCCTTCGCACTGCCAGGCTAAGTAAACGGTCTTCCAGCCAACCCAGGTGGCCTTGTAGGGAATGAGAAGGAACAGACTCAACACAGTCGTTATCAGGGAGTTGTTGTTCGGCTCCAGCCTTGAGCTGGCGCCGAAGGGGTAGTCGGGTTATGATGGTAATTGAGAATTTCAAGCTGTTTTTTAACACTCCGACACTGGTCTCTCAGTCTCCCGTTAATAGCTGCGAGCTTCTCCGTGATGTTATTAGACGTCGATTCTGTGGTCTTGTCACTCTTTTTGCTCACATAGCAGATTCTGAGACCTCACGACCGCAGCCAACTGATCCCAGGTGTAATCCAGCTCCACCCAGAGATGTTGTTCTGAGTTGATTCTTTCCTGATGTAATCCAACATACATACGCTCAAAGGTGTTATTCTGAGCATTCACTGCAGTCGTAAGCGCCTCCAAGCTCTTAACCGTGCTGCCTTCAGTGAGCCCTTTCTGAGAAGTCGCACCTGTCGTTCCAATCCCAGCGGGCAGCCTTGTGGGGGTTTGAACAGCCGGTTCTGCTTTCTTAATTCTCCAATAAGCCAGGGCCAAGCCAGCTCCGATCAGCAAGAACCCTGTTATCATGGTTCCGAATAGGTAGATATCTTCAGCGTCCTCGATCGACAGTCCCGCCAGGCACACGATCCTCTGCCACCCGTCCATCGTGTATCCGGCAGGGAAAGTCCCTCCAGGGCACTCGGGTTCTCCCGAGCCCAGACTTCTCGTTAAAGGGTGTCAATAGCATTCAGAGACCAGTTGATCAAATTCATAATTCTCTTTTAGGTTTTAGACACAGACTGTGAGAGAGTGTTCCAGGGAAAGTAATACAAAAAAGACACGAGACTAGACAAGGACATAAGAACTATATAGATAGGGGAGAGGAGAAAAGTGCGTCCGCCTGTATGGTGGGGACAAAAAGTTTATTCATAAAGTATTAAGACTTTATGGTTTGAGGTTGGCAACCAGTGCTTCCAGTTAAAGTAATGCGTGACCTTTTATGTTTATTTGACTGTTCCGATAGCTCTCATGGAGAAAATAGTTTATTGGCTTAGCTGTGTCATTCCATCTGCAAAGAACTGGAAATAATTAAACTGAATAAAACCTTAAGATCCCAGATCTGATAATGTGTCACCATCATGAAGCATCCCAGTAAAGGTCCAGCACTTAACTACTGGGCTAATGTTTACTCCTATTTTAGGGAGCTTATCTTTTCATTGTTTTATTCAGACAGTCACTTCTGTGAGATGGAACAAGTTACATGCAAAGTGCAGCGTGTAAGAAGCTGTTTAAATAGTCTGGCTTCAATCTGCGTCAGATATGAAACATACAGCAAACAAAACACGACCACCTACCGCACTGTGATCTATTACATAACCTGAGAAAACATCTGATCAGTGCATTGTTTATTTAAACAGAAACTTCATGCAGTGGAGACACTGATCAAAGAAACTGTAAAATAATAGTTTGAAACCAGTGCTACAAAAGACAGTTCTCCAAGTCCCTGAATTTGTTCCTTTACCTTATGAACACATTATTATTATTTTAAAAAGAGTCAAATAGTCTCAAAATAAACTATTCTGAATAAATGGCTATGAGCATAATGAAAAAAAAACCACTTTTTTTTTTACAATTTTTAAATACTTTCATCGTTAAACTCAGAATATGCATCGCTGCAGATACTCACATTCAGTTTGGTGGAGTTGTTTGAAGAAATCTGCAGACACAAAGGAAAGGAGAAGCCAAAGTCCTGCTCAATAAACTGTGTGTGTGTGTGTGTGTGTGTGCGCCAAAGGATTAAATCCTGCTTGGGGCGAGTGGGTGTGCGAGCATGTAACCAACCATGACACACGTTGGGTTAACTGATCATTGTCCTAACTTTACATATCTTCACTCTCAGGGCTTTTGCATCATCACATGTTAGGATTTCAAGTCACAGCAACTGTTTCTTTTGCCTTGGAGGAATCATTGAGTCGGCACTCAAGAATCTACAGAATCCATTAATTCTGCTTAAGGGGATCATGGGAGCAGAGGGGGAAATGGGTGTTTACGTGGCCGAGTTACAAAAACTGCATGAAAAACAAGTGCTGTAACTTGCTAATTTTATTCATCGGCTGATTTTCTTACATTAATGTAAAGCCAGGGTTCTCAAAGTGGGGCGCACGAGAAAAAGTTGGCCCATGGCAACACTTTATGTGGTCTTTGGCAAAAGCAAGGGAAGAATGCACTCTACTGTACACTCATTTCATTTATCTACAAGTCATGCATTATAAAGCACTGGAGGATGAGAAGGGAACCTTTAAACTCTGCTTTAAAGGAACGGCTTTACATTTGCACACACCAACCTCTCATCCTTCAGCTGTAAAAACCACAATCTGGCTTTTTTAGTAGCTTCAGGTTTATTTCACATTTTGAAATGAAATCATTTCAGTGGTTAGTATTGTTACCGTTCTAATTTTTCCCAAGCAGCTGGTGGTGGCGTCAACAGGAGTTGAATTAGATAAATTATTAAAGATGGTCAGACGATAGTTAGAAGCTGCGTGTGAATTAAGTGCGTGACAGGTTCGTGAATTGACACTGGATGGATGTTGTATGTGCAAACCTGGTGGGGAAAAGGGATAATCCCTCCACACCACTGCAGCAGTTTACTGACCAAAGGAGCAAAATGCAACATTGTATAACTGGACACCTGATTTACTGAATTTGACCAACGTACTTTCTTTATTTGGCAAAGTGAATGTGGATAAAAGCTCAAAGCCATCAGCTGTGTGCCTATAAAATATGGAAATAAATTTCAAGTCACTTTAGTATTCTTACATTGTTAAAATAAATCTTTCATTGCAGTTTTCCAGGGTTCTACTTTACAGTCTGTACTGTTTTCACTACTGTTCTGCAAGTATCTGCGGACAGGATGGCGGCTTCCACAGGCGAGCGCTGCAAATCTGTAGCAGCCAAAGAGGTTACACACCTTTTTCACACACATTTTTCCCTTGGCAACTGGTGATTGTCTCAAACCCTGTGTGACTGAAGCCTAATGTTAGCTACTGTCTCTACAACTATGCCAGATGTGCAAATTATTTTAGAAATGATGTTTATATATGGCACAAAGACATTTAACATTTTAAAAGTTGACTGATTCATGACATATGAGTGTAGATGACTTATGTTTTAAAAAAAACTCTTTCCAGAACAAACTGCAAGCTCAAAAATACAAAACACAAAAACCAAACTATCCTCAATACTGATATTTTAAAGCAACAAAGAGCAGTTTTACCCATGAACAGTTTTATTCATAACATTGTTATACAAGACAACGTAAAAAGAAGAAAAAAACAAAATAAAACAAAATCCATGAATTACATAAATGCAAAATTCAATCCATTTGAAATTACCAAATAACATTTCATTGGTAATAAAACAAAAAGCCCAGTATTACATCGAAATCCTCAAGGCAGCTTAACAGATGTTCTTCCTGTGTAAACAGAAGAGTTTAATAAAGCTGATGCTGGGTAGCAGCATGGTTAGTAAAATTACATTAACTGCATATCAAAGACGCAAAATCATTACTTTAAGGACTTAGAAATAAAATTCCTTGTTCACTGATTAGTGACTGTCAGGCATGTATCGTTCCCTTAAGATAACATCCCAAATGTCAAGTAAACTTAAATCTAAAGAAAACTTTCCATCCATCCATTTCTTCCGCTTATCCAGGGCCAGGTTGCAGAGGCAGCAGCCTAAGCAGAGAAGCCCAGACCTCCCTCTCCCCAGCCGCCGCCTCCAGCTTTCCCAGGAGAACACCAAGGTGTTCCCAGTTCAGCCGAGAGATCAAGAACTGAATGGATCTGACTGCAAAAAGCTACTTCAATATAAATTCTACCATTTTCATGAGGAGCTTAACAGAAAATCATAATCTGTTTAAAAAAAAATCAATTCCTGGCATAAAAAGGAGGTAGCAACACATCTGAATATAAAATAAAACATTAATGCTGCCTTTCTACATTGAAAGAATGTAGTTAGTGAATCATTCGGTTCAGCATCAGTACATGAGGACGAACAAGTTAGCTGTTGTGTCTGAGTGCAAATAACCTTTCACGTGATAGCTGAGATGGGAAAAGTCCATCAGCAGCTCCTCTGCTGCGATAAACAACCTGACCTACAAAGGTTCATTATAAAAAGCACAAAGCACTTTAAAGGTTTTACAGCATCATATGCATTTTACATCCCCCATGGCCAATCCTGCAACACAATGCTCCCATTATTTGGGAATGTTTTTACTTCCACAGACTTGAGACCTCTGAATCAGGAGAGGCTGCCTCATGTGAGACATGATCCTCAAGAAGAAGTAGCTGCAAGAAATACACAATACATCTCTCAGGAACCACAAAAACAGAATTCATTTGGCCATTTCCCATGGGGCAGGAACGAGAGGCGTGTGTGCTTACAGAAAAACTGCACTCATCTCACTCCTGCTAACTGCATTCTTGGACACATTCTTGGCCTCTGGTAAACACGTTGTAGATGTTGACCAGAGGAAACATGACGAGAGCTCCGATAAGAGAGCCGGCCTGGATGGAGATGCCGCACCACAGCAGGGCGGCGTGACCCGCCTCGTGAAGCAACGTACCAATCACCACCTTCAGATAGGAAAAGGCACCAGTGAAAAAAATCCAGGAGATGACCTGTAGGGGGCACAAATGGGCAGGATATTATTTAAAAACAGAAGAAAATGTGATGAGACTGAAGGAGTGTGGGCCTCTAAAGATCTGTTGTAACTCATGTGGACTCCTGTCTACAATTCTCACTGCTTATGAAGGCATTTGGATTCATTTTCAGAGGTAAAGTTATACCAATGTACTGTTTTGCTTCATAAAGTACACTGACTGAGGAACTGGGTGCGCATGAGTGTAAGATGGGCTATTATTCTCAGGAAGCTGTCATTAGTAGACTTCTTAATCATGATTATTAAAGGTCAGAAAAGTATTCAGTACAAGTTCAGGGGTAAAATTTAAAACAATTTTTATACAAGATGCATCACAGCAAAAAATGTGATGACTATATTTAGGAAAATGTTTAAATAAATAAAAACATGCAGAAATGTTAAATATGAAGTGAAAAAAAATCTCTTGGGATTTTTTGATTCTTAAACACAAAGACAACTGATCATCCAGTACTAAATAATGCAGGTCTGCAACCAAAAAACTGCATAGGATATGTTGACTGTTTCTTATAGATTTTCACTGAAACCGGGAAAAATCTCTTTAAAATTCCATCACGTCAGTTTTTTAGTTTAATTACGTGTACAATTTCCCTTTTCAAACTGAAATCTGGTGTCTTATACTTGAGTCAGAAAAAGATATATCCAATAATGATTTCTTACAGTAATTTAATATTTCTAAGCGTGAGACTCGAGAGAAATACAAATAGAAAATGTGAGGAATTGAGGGGGGTCAGTAGGAGGGGGAGGGTAGGGTGGGTTTGGCGGTGTGAGGAGCTCAGATGATCACGTCCCAACAGGTTTATTTTGTTCATAGTGAAAGGTACGAAATCGCAGAAAAAGTATGCATGGTTAATTTTAATAAAATATTGGTTTTTTTTCATCGCTGTTGTGCTTTTTTTTTTTTAATGTAAACTCCTCATGTTTTGCAAAACTGTACATGATAGAGGGAAGTGGAAATCATTTTTGGATTCAGCAGCATAACAAACATAAAATTTAACAAAAATATCCCATGAAGCTGAATTTTTTTTTTTTGCAGACCTGCATAATCAAAGGCTCTATGAAGGCACTCTTTAACCTTAAAATTTCTAGTTCCTAGTTTGCTCTGATTTGGCGCGTTGTACATTCAACTAAAAGTGAAAAGATCCTCAGGGAGGAGGCACAAATCCCTTTGAGGGTCGAACCAGGAAGGGCTTAATGAGATTCCCTAAAATTACTACTTTAAATTTGGGAATTCGTTTTCTTTCTTTATATAAAATCAGCTTTATTTTTATTTATCGTGCCCATTTAGAAATGTATCCATTGTTGTTATACTATAGATGTTAACTAATTTTATTTAAACATTAAGCTTAAAAATAGTAATTTTGATTCATTTATTTGTTTAAATAAATAAATCAAATTGCTCAAGTTTACAGCTCCTAACTGAGAACCACAGGCTACGTAAGGAGCCAAGATGGCCACCACTTCCAGAGGATCATTCCCTTCCCCATCACCCATCCAACATTTGTTGCCTTTATAAACAGCTTTGTTTGCTTGTTATTTCTGGCCTTGGCTTAAAGACCAGATTATTTCTGCTGAAATAATAAACACAACATCTACTCTTTGTTCAAAGTTGTTTTTGTGGCTGCGTACGACATTTTCAGGATGTGTCTCAGCCTCCTTGACGGGATGTAACACCCCAGCCCAGAAATAAATGAACCCACTCACCACTAAAGCCACACCAGCATGGCTTCCTAGGAGCGGCGGGCAGGGGCTGAGGGCCGCTAACGCCATGAGATAAGCAGCAAATACACCACCCACCAAAGCCAAAAATCCCAGAGGTGTAGAGGATCTGGAAAAGACAAGTTTTCATGAGAAGAAGTCCAAATATAACAATGAAATCTCACAAATAAGTCTTTATTTCTATGTTCTCACCTGAGGACAACGAACATGGCCAGAAAACACGCTACGGGATTCGCTATGTTTCCAAGGACCACAGAGAGGTGGAAGGTCATGGTGCCATAGGGCAGGCAGGAGAAGCTCTGCACAGATGGG